GAACCTGTTGGGCCCCTCCTCTCTGTCTAGCCAGTTCAATTTCCCCCAAATCCACAACAGCCCATGCTGCCACGTGAACTGTTCTCCCAACTCGGGTGGACAGGACTGGTAGTAAGGTTCCATAAGAGGCTGATGGGGCTTTCTGGATGATGCGGTCCCACATTCCAGCAGTAAAAGGCACCATGTCAGGTCCTCAAAAGGCTCGATGTAAATAGCATGTCACATTCCCATCTCTCTGAGGAACATTTACAGCTCTGGCATAGACATCCAACATGGCTGGGCCATCGATAGGTCCCCCTTGTTTGGCCACGCTGCGCAGCAGCCTGCCACGAACCAATTCAGCAGCGACACATTTTCTCGATACTGGATTGCCGCACGTATGCGTTGGTGCAAGGAAGGGTGGGTGGTGACAGAGGCCGTCTGGTCAGTTCATCCCCAGACAGTACTACACTGTCCACACCCGTGTCCCTGAGGCAAAGAAGCCACCCCACAATGGCTTCTGATCCTTTCTGGCAGAACTTGGCGGTCAGTTCTACCAGCTCCACTGGTGTACATGGCCGGCAGAGGTGTGTAGATATTTTAAGGGAGGAGGCAGTTTCCTTGGGTCCTGCCCGGCTGGGTGGTCCTGTTGAGTCTTTAACTTCTGAACTATATCCCAGTGAGCCTGAGTTGCACCAGTGCCCTCCCTCTGGAGGGACAGTTCGACCTCCTCATCTGATTCCAACTCCCATTCTGCGGTGGGGTCCAACTTACAGGGATTCCATTCCGACTGTACGGCCACACGCTCCCTTGTTGGCTTTCATCCCTGCTCTCTCTCAAAGCGGCAGGCTAGGTCCCGCAGCTGCTCACTGGCCTGTTTTGTTGCCCAAGACATCTTTATTATTAGCCTGTGTGACTAGCATGTCTCTAACTTCTCTTCCTCTTCCAGCATTTTCACTCTTTTATTGGCCTGCATCTGTTGGGTAATAGCTTCACGTAGGACCTGCAGGAAGGGCCATCCCACTGCGCTGCCTGTAGCTCCTTAGTTTTTAGGAAACAATACTTCCCTACTTTCAGCAGAAACTTAAGAGGCTCATAGGCGTAGTGGAGGTGTACCCCCATTCCCTGGGTGGTAGGCTCCAGGAATCTACAAGGCTTGCCACCTCAAACAATATGTGCCTGAAGGCCCACCCCGGGATTCCCCTCAGCATCAGGATTCCTCCCAGCCAACTTCCACATGGGCTTCCTCTTGGCAGACTCTGGATTCCCCCTGGATGTCCCAGTAGAGGAGGCTACCTCCACCAGGGTGTTTTCCGGAACATCCTGCCAATTTTAACAGGAGTTCCAAGCCAGGAACTGGCACGTGGGTCTTTGATATTCTGAAAGAGCAAAACAAAACAAAAAACACCAGGAGGGCCAGCAGAATGAGACATGCAGTTTATTACTCACAATACAACAAGGCTTCAGTACCTGGTCGGTTCGAGCTGCAGGAAAAGGCAGCCAGCCAAGAGCAGGC